CCTAACCTCGTTAAGGCCTCCATATGCTTTCATTCCATTCAACTCAAACATTCATCAAATATCAAAGAATTCATCACATAGAAGCACTTTAATCACAAAAGTAATTTCATTAAACATGTAACAAACTAAAATAGTAAGGAAATTATAAAAATAAGAATATTGACCAAACACCTAACGTACAGCATTAACTAATCAAAATTCACGAATACAAGTAAACTAATCATCTAATCAACATAAACACTATTTAAAAGCAAAAAAATATCAAGGGGAACCAAAAAGAGGTTCAACTATGGTGGATCCATGCCTAGCCAAACCTTCAAATGACTTTAATAGTGGATTTATTTTTTTGTTTTCTTTGATCTTTTATCTCAAATCAATCTATGGATTAGTTATTGAGTTTTGAGATCAAATTTAAAGCTAAGAACACAAAAAATTATGAAATTTCTCAAGAAACACAAAAAATGATTTGAAAATGCAATGAAAATGCTATGAAATGTAAGAAAAGAAACTAAAAATTATACATATCAGAAAGCTCTCCAAATTTTTCTATTTTTTTCTTATTTTTTCTTTTTTTTTTTTTTTTTTTTGCAAATTCCAACTCTTCCTCCTATGGCAAAACTATCTATCAACCTTTAATGAGAGGGAAAAAAAAATCATGCAATTGAACATTGGCCCTTGATCAAAACTTCATCTAATGGTAAAAAATTCTTTTTTATTTTCTTTGCAATGAGCCGTCTTTCACCATTAGATCCAACCCCTCAAAATTAACTTACAGTTAAGAATACCTATTGCCAAATATTGGATTTTCAATCTTACTAGAATAAGTGAAAAGTCCATTTCACCCTCATTAGAAAGTTTTCAGTTTTTAACAATGCATCTTTCCTCATTTTTTTTATTTTAAAGCACAAAAAATCTTCAAATAATATAAATTAAAATCTAAAAATTTTCATGAAAATCATATCTCAAGAATGTCAAATTATAAAATTACTTTTTAAGGTTATTTTAATAATTTTACACTTTTCGAAGTATTACCAAGGTTTTTAATATATCAAAATTTTAAATAATTTAAAAACATAATTTGAAACATTTTGCAAACACCGACCTTGAAAGATCAAATTACAAGAATACTTATAAAGAGTACTTTAGTAATTTCACACTTTTTTAGGTACGATCAAGGTTTTCAATATTCCAAAAATCATCAAATAATATTAAATCATAATTTGGAGCTGTTCACGAAATTTCAACCTCGAAAAGATTAATTTACAAAAATACCCCTATGAGTATTTTGGTAATTTCTCACTTTTCATGGTGTGATCAAGGTTTTTAATGCACCAAAAATTATTAAAAAATATTAAATTATGATATTAAGGTTTTCACAAAAATCTGAATTTGAAAAGACCAAATTACGAAAATAACTTTACAAGTGCATTTGGTTCGGGGGAATCTATAAATTTTTTCCTAGAATCTTATGGTGGATATTTGTTTCTAATGTTTTGTTCAGGACAATTTGATTACGAAAAAAAATGTCATATTCTCAATAGTACCCAAAGTTTCAAAATCAAAAATTCATTTCTCCTTATGGCATTTTAGGATTTTATGGGGGAAAGTTACTTTATTTCTAAATTTAACTTGAATACAAAATTTGTCATATATCCATTACCTTTTTGAAGACCAAGTCTGAAACTCAATTTTAGCTTTTTTTAAAAAAAATTTCCTTATTTTTAATTTAGTTTTAGTATGTGGCAATTAAGGTGTTTGTAGGCGTTTCATCCTACAAATGCCTTAATTAATATCAATTAAAATGTTTCTTCTTAGAAACGCTTTATTTTATATCAATTAAGGCATTTGTTGGAAGATACGCCTTATTTGATATCAATTAAGGTGTTTCTTCCTACAAATGCCTTATTTGATGCTTTTCCCAAAATCTTTACAAAAGTATCTAATAAGGCATTTCTTTGAACAAACAACTTATTTGACTCACTCAAATAAAGCGTTTTCGTTTTGCAAATATCTTATTTGATAGATGATTTTTCAAAATCTTTACAAAAGCAAATAAGGCATTTCTTTAAACAAACACCTTATTTGATTTTTTTTCTAAAATATTTACAAAAGCAAATACATTAATTATATACTTACAAACACATGCCTTATATTTTAATACAACAATTATGACTTGATGTTTAGTTAAATACCGTAATTAGGTATATTTAGTTAAAAAAATTAAAATCTTTCTTTTCTTTTGCTATTGAAGGTATCATTTGTCGTTTAGGTTTTTTATTATTAAACAAAATAAAAGGTTACCTACAGCTTATCAAGGAGATTATGATAATTATATATGAACTAATAAACCAAGATTTCCCCAACCAATGAATGAATTTGATTAAAGAATGCCTTGAAAATCAAACAAAACCTCGAGTATCAAACTTTTCCTAGTATCAAACTTTCCCCTGAAATCCAAAATTCTGCAAACCAAACACCCCTTAAGGGCATTTCGATAATTCTACTTTTCGAAGTGCAATCAGATTTTTAAATACTTTAAAATCATGAATTTTGATTCTAAGCCATATTGATTCTAATTGATTGTGAATTTTAAAAGTTGACCCGAGTTTTAGCCACTTTGAACAATTTTGACTAAATTTGATTTTATTTAACCAGATTTGACCAAGTTTGATATTGAAGAATTTAGGTCAAATTGGTCCCAATTATAATCTTAAAAACTCATCAAAATTAAAGAAATATTGAATTTGGATTAGATCTAATTTTAAGAGTTTCACAGATGATCGCTCGAACAAAATTAAGTGTCTATGTATGAGAGTGCAAAGGTACAAAATCCCTAGGATTCAATTTTAATTTTTATAAGAAATCTTGGCTTTTGATGAGAGAGGAGCTGATGGAGTTTATGTCTGATATATAAGAGGGAAGATAGAAAAAGGATTGAATTCATCCTTTATTACACTAATTCCCAAAGTGTCCAACCCAAATTTCCTTACAGAATACAGGTCAGTAAGTCTCGTGGGTCATTAAATATTCATTAAATATTCATGAAAATGATAATAAATTTAAAATATCCATTAAATATGAGTATGAGAATTAATATAATATAAAAATTTGAAAATAGTGAATGCTCTACTTATCTTATATCCTACCTGTTAACATTCTTAATCTTTACCTTTCATATTAATTTGTAGCCAAACTTATTAAGTAATTTACTATAAATTTTAAATTTATAGTGCTTACCTTTGCTTTCAAAGTGAAGAACTTCCATGTATATCACATTTCCTTCTTTATATTGCTTAAAATAGTTTTAATAAATTATTGTCCTTGCTCCATCATGCATTACTATTCATAATATTGTTATTAGAAATTCTTAACAAAGGTTAAACTTCTTGTTATTCGTGTATTTTCCTTCTTTAAGAAGGAGAAATAATCATTCTTTGTTGAATTTGTTTTTCATAATAATAAAGCATACACCCTTTTACTCATTTTTTAATTTTATGGGCATCAACATAAACCTCTTTATTTGTGAATTAACGTAGGACTAACTTTACTCTATCTCATAAACATTTGACATAATAGTCTTTTGATCTTTCTTATGTTTTTGGTAAGATTATTCATCTATTTAAAGAATACATGCAAGTTATTCAAGAGATATTTCTTCCTTTTATACAAATGATTCTCTTGAAATCTTATTCCATGATGATGTAAGTATATGTAAATTATTGAGGACAAAATTGAAATAATAAATATCCATATAAAATAATATCACATAATTGTTACAGCATAATTCAATATATATATGCAAAAACTAATAATTCAAACAATCATACATATAATTCAAGAAGTAAATAAACTTATATGGTAAGTAGATGATAACCATTATAATCATCTTTTTTTAGCGAGAATCATTCGTATTATTTTCTTAATCAATATGTCTGTTATATTCGATGGTTGCCAAATTTTCTCTTTCTTTGTGCTTCTTCATTTGTGAACCATTTTGGCACCTTAAAATTTGCTTCATCGAATTGTTCCAATTTTGGAAACTCTACAACCATCTCTCTCAAAGTGCTTAGATTTTTTCAATTTTAGAAAATAAGAAATAAGTTTAAAAATTTTTTGTTTTTGTGAGTTTGATGGATGTAAAATGGAAAGGCCGCTATTTTTTGCAATCACGTTATTGTACAACCATAACGAATGATAGTTATTAATTTTGCTTTGATATCAATAGGTATTATGTTAATTTTATTTCGGTACCAATTATATCAATCAATATATTCTAGTTATATCAGAATATGATATATCTAAAAATATTTTTTATATTAAATTTGATATCGAATAATATCAATTATTTTTGTTGATTTTAGATGATTTCGATGAATTTTTGTGGATTAACTTATTTTAGTTGGTACGCAACTATGAAACATATTTTGCAACTTTTAATTTGTTTTTTGTTGTTTGATTATTTTTAACCAAATAAAAATAAATTAATTAACAAAATAACCCTTAAAAGTTGATTTTTTTTATTTTTTAATTTAACTTGTTTTATTAATATTTTATTTTGTCCAACCAAAGTTTATAAGTATTTCAATCTATTTCAAGAAAGTATTTGTTTTCTCTTTTTAAAGTTTAACAATCATAAAGTTAAGGTTAATTTTTTTCATCTCTTTATTTTTATCTTAATATTTATATAAAAATACTTATTCAAATATTATATGATCAGATTACGCATTTAAAAATATCATAAAAAATTTATGATATTATTTTTGTACTTTTAAATTTATTTATTTGATTTTTGAAAATACTGCATATTTATTTGATAGATTATTAATAGTATCATAATGTAAAAATTCATATATATTTATAAATATATTTATACTAAATAAAAAATTCAAAATAATATATTGAAACCAATAATATCATTATATTACCATACTTAAAAAAAAATAAAACGTTATAGATACAATATTAATATATATTTATAAAATATTTATAACGTTATCAGATACAACATTGATTCACACCCTAATTGTGATAGATTTCGGTATTGGAGGGAACCAAAACCGCACAATAGCGGCCACATCGCGGCCATTAACTGTGGGAGAGGATCAGAGTCGGCACCCTCCCCCAACCCATGTAAGTAATCATCTGAGGACAATACCACAGACAGTCTATCGGTAAAGACAGCAAAACAAGAACCAGTTTCCACTTTGCAAAATCAAAATTCAAGCGTGTAAAACGGGACTTAGCTTTATTTCACTAATTGGAAAGACAGTCATTTCAATCATAGGCAGACAGAGAGAGCGGCGTGCGGAGTAAAACAGCAGTTATGGAAACATTGGATGCACTCAAAAATGCTGAAAAATTATCCTCGAAACGATTATATAATATAAAGTTTTCTTGTATTATTCTATGCCTTGCTTGTACGAGGGGGGATGCTCTGTTCATTCCTGAAGAAATTATCAGGATCGACTGCTGTCTTTACATCCACCAATCTCTCGAAATTGCCATTGAAATAACTCTCTCCATAAACTTTACCTTCTTGGTAGGTCCAATTTTCGCTGATGCCAATGTCAAGGTCCCTATAGTTCAAATAAGCACTTCTTGGGTTCTTGGACACAAAGCCAGTCATGTAACTGTAAAGCCTGTTTAGCAGATTTTTGTACTTTTTGTCTGCCTCAATTCCTGTCTCCTTCCAGGTTATTGAATACTGAATCTTAAACAAATTCCCGGTTCGATGAGGGAATGGGGTCTCTGTGGCCTTGATTTCATTCATTATCCCTCCATATGGATTGAAAACCAACCCCGGTTCTCCCAGTTCAATCATCCTCTTCCAAAGCCATGCCAATCCATCTTTAGATATTGGAGTCTGCACATAATCTGATTTCCTCTTTATGAACTTAACATGGTAATAGTTTCTATCAAGCAGCACATTGGGTGAAGTTCCGTTGTCAAAATTAGCCCACCAAAGAGCAGAGCCAATCCAACTCATCTCCAGGCAATTTTCTTTTTTTAGACCCAATTCAGGGAAATCCTTGGCCAACAAAGAGACAAGATTATTGGCTGCCCCTAAATATAATGCGTAAATCGAAATTCTGATCGTCTTTTGCCTGTTTATAGTAACTGGCTGCACAAGCATCCTCATGAACAAATTGTTATCTGTTATGGGAGCAACAGTTTGCCACTTGTAGAAAACATCAGTAGCGTTCTGTTCCAAAGTTCTTTCAACTTCAAAAACCGTAACAGTTTCAGGAACAGGAACAAGCTTGATTTTGTAAGCTAAAATTACACCAAAACTGGCTCCTCCACCGCCTCTGATAGCCCAGAAAATATCCTCTCCCATCCCTTTTCTGTCAAGAATCTGACCGTTAACATCAACTATCTTGGCATCTACTACATGATCCACAGAGAGACCATACTTTCTCACCATGTTACCATACCCAGCACCACTTATGTGCCCTCCAATGCCAACAGTGGGACAAACCCCTGCAGGAAATCCGTGGACTTTGCTCTTTTCCCAAATCCTATAGTAAAGTTCTCCAAGGGTGGCACCGGTTTCAACCCAAGCCGATTGATCTACCATATTAACAGATATTGAACGTAGATTGAACATGTCAAGAATGAAAAACGGTTTGTCAGATACATAAGATACGCCCTCAAAGTCATGGCCGCCGCTTCGGATTTTGAGTTGAAAGCCAATCTTCTTGGAACAGATAACGGCTGCTGAGACATGTGATTCCCTCAAAGGGGTGATGATGATTACTGGTTTTGGTGTGGAAGAGGTATTGAAACGGGCATTACGGATATGTGCTTGTAAAACAGAATTGTAGGAAGAATTGGACGGAGAGTAGACTATGTTAGGCACATGATCTGATGGGTTGGATTGGCTTTTTAGACATTGAAGAAAGGATTCATAGATGGAATCGGAGGCTGCAGTGGAGGAGAAAATGATAAAGACAAAAGCTAAAAGAGGAAGATGCAGAGCAGGAGGAGGCAAGGATATTGTCATTGCTTTCTTGTCGGTGGAAGTAGTTCATGTAATTAACTACTTCTATACAATATTGCATTCATCGGTACTAAGATGAGTTTAAGATCCACTTGGGCAATTAACAAACAAACAGCGAGGAATCTAATAAGGATAAGGCATCCCCAGAACGTGGGCCTAATGCATTGGGCAGGGAAATTGGTGCATTGCGAGCTACCCCAGAAAAGGAGCAGTGATATATACCAATCAAAATTCTCAACAGAGATAAAGGGTAATAAATTTTTTAAAGATTAATTAAATTATTATTATTATAAAAAAATTCTATGTTAATTAAAATCTATGTTAATTAAAATAATTAATAATTAATTCCAGCATATTAAAAGATGCTTTTAAAAAACGCGTTAACAAAAAATCTTAAATTTAAAAGGAAAAAGTTGTGTCCCAATCGCACGCTCCATTTCTTCTAGCGACTTCCCTGCTGAGTGCCGAGAGATGGCCATGATTGCCTCATGATCCAAATTAAAATATTTTGAAAAGTAATGAAAGCCACTTTTATTTACCCTAAGCCAGCTTAACTCCATTAATTTCCCATTTTCTCAATTTAAAACATAACAAACAGATTCTTAGAGAGGAAAATCAAAAACGAATATTGATGTGGCACTTTTAGATAGTTGTCGGCTTCTTCATGATAAATGGGAACACGTGAAACATAACGCTAACATAATAATTTAAAAACAAAGTTTGAATATCTAATTAATTGAGTATATATTTTTAAATATTAAAATTTAAAACTGGACATTTGATTTTTAAGTCTTTTTAAAGGTATAGGAAAAGAGCAGCCGAAAGGAAACGAAGAGTTGAACCTGTAAACGAGAAGAGCAGAGAACGGTTAACGACGTAGAAAGGAACTGTGGTTTTGGACTCGTTTATCTACAGTTTTAGCTAACACTCAGACCGAACATGTTGAAGAAAAGTTTTAGTGGTAGAGCCACAAAATTATTTGATTTAGACGGTAACGAATTAAACCAGCACATTGATTTTGACAAATCAATGCTTGCAGCTGTTTCGAGTGGAAAAATAGCCTTCTGCGTTGGAATCCTTTCTCATTGGATTGCACGGCGACGCATTTTATATATATATATATATATATATATATATATATATAAATATATATATATATACATACATATATATATACATAACTTTTCCGTAGTATTTTTTTAAATAAGTGCATTATTATTAATTGATAATTTTATAATTTAATAAAATTGATTGATAAATTTAATTTTAATAAGAAATACATATATAAGTTCAAAATTTGTAATTGTGATTATTTATGTATACATTTTATATATCTCGTTGAGTCAGTGTGGTTTAACAGTTATATAGTTTTTAACTTAGTAAAATTGTATGGAAGACTTTTAGGGTTTTAATAAAATATATAGTTAAGATTCTCTCTTCACTTCTAATTAATGTAGACCAAACAATTTTAAATATGACAAATAACACGATAAGAAAATAACATGAAAAAAATTGTATATGAGTTTAGTGTAATTATGTTTCGTATCTTAATCATGTTGACACCATTAAAACACAATATTATTCGTGTTATGCTCGTATCAAATAATAATGACACGTTTAAAATACAGTACTATTTATAACATAAAGAAATTTATAATTTATTTTAATTTATTTAAAAAATAAATTAATTATTATATTTATTGTATCATTTTGATGTTTAAATAAATTATAAATATTCAATTTTTAATAATTTTTTGTTTAAATACTAATTTAAATGATATTTTTTATTTAAATAAATAGACTAATCATGTCTAATTATATTATTCGTATATAATCGTATTAATCATGATGTATTATGTTATATTATTTGGGTATAAAATTAATTTTAAATATATTAATAGTGTCATGTAACGTGTAACATATATAATAAACATGTTGTGTTCGTGTTTAAGTTATTAGTGTTATTTAATTATCCGTGTCGTGTTCATATCGAGATTATCCATATCGTGTTCATGTCAAGATTATTCATATTGTGTTTGAAATCCTGTCTGATATGAAAAATGGCATGATGACATGAATTGTCAGGTCTAAATTAATGGTATATATCCTTTGAGAGCCGTTAGTAAGAGAAAAGTGAAAAAGAAAATCTAGTTTATTTAGAAAACCATTTATTATTTACGATTGCTCAAATAGGTCTGCAAATTAATTGATTGGTGTTCTAATGTTCACATATAAATCTTGAAATTTAAATATTATGCTTATTTATGGTATCAAAGTTTCCTTATGTGAGATTTTGAATCAAAATATTATTTTCAAATTTATTTTGAATAAAAAACATTATTTTGGGATGAAATTTCGTGTTGTTGAAATCCCAATTTTCAATCATTGTTTTTGGAAATTAGATTAGGGTTTTTGTTATGCTACATTTTTATGGTTTTTATGGAATTTTTAAATCACATAAAATATTTATTATGTAATATTTATATATGATTAAATAATTATTAAATTTTATGCATATGAATTATGTTATTTTATTTTATAATAAAATATTTTGGTATGCTAGAACTCTATTGCAAGTATGTAATATCTCTATATGTTGTTTTAAATTTATGTACTCTCATGCTAAAGTTATTTGCATAATTGAACAAATTTAATAAAATTTATTTTTACTAATCTTTTAAACTATCATTTAAATGCAACATGCATTGTTTTGAAAAATAAGTTGGATTTAAACTCCACAAATATTTGGTACAGCTAGTAGCAAATTGTTAATTTTATTTTATAATTAGATAATATTATTTATTTTAAATAATTGGTGTTTGAAATTGCTGCATTGATTTATTTTTTGTATGATTATTTTAGAGTTTGTATCATCGTTAATTGTGAAATTTGTTTTATAGTAGATGATATATAAGAATAAATTATGAAATACTAAATATTAAATTATTCATAAAAATTTGAGATACTCAATTTGAATGCAATAAATTACTTATTGATCTAGTAAGACATAGGCTTTCTTTCTTTCATTAGTAAAGAGGGTGCAAGACGTTCACAGAGTTTGTGCCTTTCATACCACCACAAAACTAGTCATTTTTAGGTGGATCATGCCCCAAAGTATCTGACAAGGAGATATCATATTTATAATGATCCATCAAGATATGCATTAATTGACAATCAACCATTTAATGACCCAAAGAGATATATCATTGTCAAATATCTCATAAGGAGTGGTCAAAGTACATACACATAATTAATTACACAAAACTATAATTATGAACAATCTATTTCCTAGAATGAGAAATATAATTGGTTAATGTGGGTGCTTAGCTATCAAAGTAGCTCACTCATTGAAACTTACAAGATTTCTCATACGCAAAAATGTAAGTATTTTTAAATTATCTTATACAATCACCAGCCCAAATGGTTTATTATATTTAGTAATTTAAATTGGACATAAGCACCAAGGTTAATGGTACACTAGTCTAGAAGGTTTGTCTATCCAAAGGGGATAAGCTTTTTGGAAACTAGGATATTTTTCATTGGCTTCATGTAAAAAAATGCCTATTAGCATGTCATATTCTCCATCCAAAAGGGAGTTTGTGGTAATGTTACAAATAACATATCATACATTAGTGTTATTTATTTGGATTGCTGCTCATATGTTAAAAGTTATATTCTTTTATCTTGAATATTACTGTTGATTTTTATGACAAAGATCAAGTAGCTCTAATTGAAAAGGATAAAAGATAATTTAAAGCTTAATAAGTTATGGGTGTTTTCTTAGGAATAATCATTAAGTTTTGAACATTTTGATTGATTATTGTCTAATTGTTTAAAATGTTGCATTTTGTGATGATAAAAATCTTTTATTTAAGAAAATTTTATGAATTTTTTAAATATTGTCTAGTCATATGAATCCATGCAAAATAATTATCACATTTATAATCAGTAAGTTTGTTATCTTGTTTTGTTCTAATATATCATTGTTTGATAAATTGACTTATGAATGATCATGCTTATACAAAAAGCAATGTGTGGAATTAAGTTGGTTATTTTGAGAACATGTGTTTTGTGGCATAAATATGTTTCGCTTGCTTACAATGTTTTAATTTTACATATCACATAATTATTATCTAGAATTTTAGGCATTAAGTTTAAAATTCAATAAAATGCAAAATGTGATATATATTTTAAAAACTCAATTTTCAGGGATATATGAAACAATATATTGGCTATAATGATAAATGAAAGGCATTTAGATTTTATACTAATCTGTTGAAATAGTGGAAGAGTTTTACTATTGAAGCTATGCAATTATGTTATGGGAAATAACATATGTTAAATAATTGCATAGTGAATTTACTTCACGTAAATTGTTAAACTAGCTTTTTAAAATCTTTTGCTTTTACAAATATATACTAAATCAAGTGTGCTCTCATAAGATATTAATTGTTTTATAATTATGATATTGTAATTTTTTGAAAGACTACCAAGTAAAATTTTATATCTTAGTAAGCATTTGTAGCATGTCTTTTGAATTATGAAACTTGGCAAATATTACCATTAAAATCTTATGTAACAAAAAAATGAGTTGTGAATGTAAAATGGATATGAGTAAAAGTTTCAGTTTATGAGAATAAGCAAAAATTAGTTTTACAAATTTCAAAGTATTAAAGATTTTGCTTAAAATATATTGTTCTTAAGGCTTGCTAGATTAACTTGTCTTAATATTTATGTTATAACTCATGTTTGGTGATATTGAAAATATTATATTCTTTACAAGAATATTATCAAGAATATGAGATTTGCTTATAATAATTATTTTATGTGATTGTCAAGAAAAATATGTATTATTGACTTCATAATATGTTATTAAATTAAGATTTATGGTATTAAGATTATGCAATTTGTTGAATCTCATGTAAATATAAAATGTCTACATTAATAGATGTACTTTGTAGCCAATCATATCTTAATTTTTAAATTTCTTGTAGTCATTCTTGAAAGATTGAGATGCCATAATAAAAGTAATATTGATTGTTGAAACTATTTACTTGATAATATGGCATGTTAAGTGCTTATATTGGTTGATAGTATGATTAAAGGTACTTAAAATGATAGTGAACATTATAATTTTTATCTTTTAGTGATTCATAGAGGTATATTTAGATTAGTATCTCCCTTAAAATAATCACATGCT